TATATATATTACATTATTATTAGTAGATAAATGAACAAAATGTAAGAATATAAAAGGCTTACACCTGTTTTCTTGAGAAGCAGGATAAGAATCTATTCTAATAATTTACAGCAAATCTACCTTCACTCTTCGTCTGTAAAGAGAATATAGCAGTCTTCGTCGATTGGCCAGCCTTGTTTCGCGCGGCACCGACGAACTGGTAAACCGTTGAGGGCACTAGCTTCGTAAATTCCACATCAACTTTTCCTTCGACATACCCGTGCTCCCAGGACTGGCCGTCGTTGGCAGGTCGATACCAAATGTCGAAGCCATCAATAAAATCCTCAGAAGATTTGAATCGTAGCACAACCTTGTCGGTGCTTGTGACGCAACGTAGGCTGTCAAATTCTGGTGTCTGTGGCACTTTAAAGTGTGAAACAAACAAAAATGAATAAATATATTTATGACCAATCAGCGTTGCCGAAAGGAGTCTTGATTAGCGTGTAGGCCTAGCGATGGTTTTATGGAAACCAAGCTTATTTTTGTTTTAGCTTAACGGTTCACCTTAGTGGGCTGATATGTGCATTCATAACATTTATTCAATTCGTTATAGAAAATATACATGTGTACAATATTAAGTTAACTGTTGTTGTCGGTATAAAAAGATGTAAATTACGATTTAAATATCAAAATTAAAAATTAAAAAGCTGTCTCAGGATGATCCCTTAAATAAAAAGTGTATTGATTATATAGGCCTAAATATTGATAAATAAATAATGATAAAGGGGTCATAACTAATTATAGTAGGGTCGAGACTGATGATTTTTTGGACATACCTTTAAGTTCCCTTATTGTCATTGATGAAATCACCTTTTTCTGATGTTGAAGATTTATCTCAAGATTGCTGAAATGATCGGTGACACCAGCTTGCATTGTTGGCCAAGCTTCACGGCAACATTTGACCCTAAAAATCAATAACTTATTAAATATTATAGTTGACGTGTCTTCCAAAGGCAATATCAAACATTCTTTTCATATTATTTTTCACAGAGATAAATGAATACAAAAGGAATAACACTTAGGCCTAGGTCTATATGAAATAAAATTGATAATGTTTTATAAGGTATATATAAGGTGAAATTGCATTTATTAGAAAAAAAATATTTTTACCTATTTTGCATGTACTTGGCAGTCTGTAATGAGGAAAAATATAAATATAAATATGTATATATACATAAATAAGCTGGGTAATTTATAAGCATTTAATACAATTCAATGGCCTTATTGTAAATTATGTCAAGTATAGACCAAATTCATATCATTATAATTTTCTCTGAAGAAAACTGATAGTTTTTAACGCCAGGCATATTTGATTTATTACTGTAATATTTTTATACCAATAGAAATGACGCCGGTTCCTCTTCTTTCAAAGCCTCTGTTACGTATTCTGCAAGTCCCGTAGATGATTCCAATTTATCCTGGCAAGTTCGTATTTGATGATTTAGAACATCTAGTTTTGACGTCATTGATGATGTCACGTGTTCCACCATCGCGTGATGACGTTCGAGAATCAGGGCCTCGAGCTGGGCACATTCGTTTGCGATCTGGCGTTTTAAATCATCAGCATTACTCTAGATATAAACCATTTAAATAAGAAAACAGGTAATATACCAGTATATAATATTTTCCCTAAAAATCAATTGTTACGTCTTGTAATTATGTAAGTATGCTTTTCATAAGAAAGTTACAAAAAAAAGAAGACAAGATTATTAAAGATATAAGAAATCAGACTAAAATATACTTATCATCTATTTAAAAACATTCCTTACCCTACCCCCTCACTTCCAAATCACAATTAAACACGTAAAGCAAACGATAACCTTTAAACACAAAGACTTGTTGGCTTGTTTGAAAAATCCATTTCGTTTCATATAGCTAAACAAAACTCACTTCAACATTTGAACATTTCCTTTTTAAGGCTGATATAAATAATCGTATTTCTTCATTTTTTTTCATCAGACCGTCCACCTCTTCGGAGAGTATATCCTTTGTGCATGAATAAGAAAGATATTTATAATATTAAGATAGAATGAACTTTTAGGCTATTTCCGTACACTTAACAACTCGACTATATCCATAGTGATTGTAGCTGATAGGCTAAACACGATTAATGATACATAATAAGAGTACAATATTGCATTTAAAAATACGTATTTTCACTTGTATAACATTTTAACAATAATCATGATAGGCCTAGCGACATCGCTTATATAGCTATTTTACTTAATGGAATGATTTAATTGATTTTTGTTTTCATTTTTATTAAATAACACAAAATGCTCTCCATCAGAACCAGGCACACCGTTTTCGGCACAACATGCAAGTACATTGCTTCATTTTCTTTTTTTTTTATATAATTTAGTTTTTATTATTAAATAACAAATTGCGGTACACCACGTATAGTTCTGAAAACAACTGTTGTTTTTGTTGCGAGAATATTTTTATATTTTATGTTTACGCTTAAGCAGTACTGTATTAAGCTGAAACTGACTATTCGCCGACATGTGCATTTTACGAGCTATTCTCTTTGCTGTTTCCCTTGCCACGTGTACTCGGTCGGTATAATCGATTCCAAAATCAATTAATTTCATTCAGATAAACTCAGAAACCACGGCCTACTGCGGTAGGTTTATTTGCGTTGTAAAAATGATGAATAAACATAAGTCAATCATTAGAAAAAGAATACATGTGTGGATCTATAGAAATATGTTTTATCGTGGATCTTGTATTTGAACGGGGTAAAACATACTTAAAGATCGTTATCGGCATCATCATTTTTGTAGAAGCATCATCATCCTCTTCATCATCGCCATCATCATCATCATCATCATCATCATCATCATCATCACTATCTTTGTCACTACCATTATCTCATTATAAATAATACTCATTATCAATGCCATCATCATCAGCTAAGCCTATTATTATTACCTACTTTAAAGCTGGTACCACATTAATGCTGTTACCTACTAAACCAATTTTAATATTTATTAAATTTGGTTTTGAATATAATATAATTCAGACTTTTCGTCATTCGTCATTACGTCAAATGAATTTTTAAATAAATACAATGAATAGTAGGCCTAAGTAAAAAGGTCGACTTTGGATATTTTTGTCACATTGTTTCTCTAAGTCAGGTAATTAGCTTTTGAATACAAAATGACATAGACATATATAAGATCTTCGAAATATACCAATGAATATGTATATAATTGATATAGAATATATAGCCTACCTTTTCTCTCCCAAAGGTGGTCTTCAGCTCCGCAACTTGGTGGCCTTTGTGTGCCCCTATACGGTCGCATAAAAAGCATATAGGGACTCTGCAATTCTCACAGTAAATTTTAATTTTCTCATCTTCGTGGTCAGGGCATATAAGAGGCTGTTGCTGAGGGTTGAACTTAGCTTCGACAAGACGGTGCTTAGCTAAAACCCCTCTGAGCGGGTGACACATAAGTAAGCATTCGTCGCAATATGAGACTCGACATTCGATGCAAGACTTTGCGGCTTGCTTTGGTTCTCCGTCGCATCCTTGACAAGGCACGGTTTTCTCTATATCGCCGGTAGAACTTCGCGACTCCTTGTACCGCTCCACGATATTCTCCAGAAGGAAATTTTTCTGCAAACCACGGAGGCGACGGTAATCCAGTTGAACTTCGCTGCGACATGTAGGGCAGTATAGATTCTTTTCCTTTCTTGGCTTGGCTATTGGAGCTACCAAGCGTTCTTCACTATCCTTCCCCTGTGATCGGTTTTGATTTTCGTCCAGTTTTGAATCCTTAAGACAATTTCTGCAAAAACTATGAGCACAGGGTAATAATACAGGATCGTTGTATAAGTCCATGCAGACTGCACATGATAGTTCTCTCTCCATTTCGATATAAACTATTCTTATTCTATTATTTCGAAGTCTGCAATATAAACATCCAAATCAGATGATTCGTCTATGATATTATAATACTGCCACTGAACCATACAACAATGTAAGGTGATTTTTGTTTAAAAATGCCTTTCTTTTAAATGCACGGTACTCAAAGCACTGGCTTCATTAAATAGGTTTATAGTACTGATTATACAGGTGTTTTGATAGTATTGATCGTGCGTTGCATTCATACACACTAGTTTGTAGTCATGGTGGAACGTCTCCGTGAGAACTCCCCATCTGTGGACTTACATTTTTTTTTATTCTGACAAATACTACCACATCATTATATACACTTGCATACGTGTAATATGTAGGTCTATAATCAGTGGCGGCGCCAGCGGGGTGGCAGGGGGGCTTAAGCCCCCCACCGGACAAGTCAAGCCCGCCCGCCGGACAGAGCCCATCGGGCAGTCAGAGCCTAACAACTTATAAAAATAGGCCCACACCAAGCCAACACATGTCTGTCACAGTCTGAGAGTGCCATTTTTGGCCATCCAGAGGTTGATATTCTTTAAAAAAAAAATCTCATTTGGGAGGGGTACCTTCTCTCAACCCTTTCCTCCAGCTCGAGCCTACGAGCTCAAGTCCCCCTGTCGGACAACTTAGCCCCCCAGAAAATATATACTAGAGCCGCCACTGTCTGTAATCTAGAAACATCATGAATTATTACAACGTACCGTATGTCATGCGTAAGTGCAATGAGCGTTTTAGGACTTACATTTTGTCCAACAATTTTCCAAACACTTCCGTGTTATAATTTACAACACAATCCAAAACATGTTATCATTATTGTCCTATAACATGATAACGTGAAATTATCTTAACGAAAAGAAATATTATCGAATAAAACATAAAAGGTACAAGATCTTTTTAACGCAATCAAACATTAACCGTCATGATTCATTAAATTCTACCCCACTTAACTTAAACGTAAATTAATTTAGCTTTCGTTGTTTATTTTAACAAGTTCAACAAGATCCACATAAATTTACACCAATTAATAAGGTACAATAGAAGTAAAGTTGGTTTAACAGGAACAATTAAATCGTTTAAAATTAACCCCATTCCAGATGTAGGTAATCATTCGATATGATAGAATATCCATTAGGTTACACTAAACCTGAACCATTCAACTAGGTAAAATATTAGCTTAGTTTGCACCCAGTAAAATATTTACTAGATTTAATAAACCATTCAACCACCTAATAATATTAACATACCAGTAGTGTGTTATAAAGAGTAAAATTTTAAAATCACTAAAATCTACATAATTTGATATTGCAAAATATTAGCGGATCAATATAATCACAACAAATATATACCATTCAAAAAGTTACAATGTTAGCTTTGATCGATTTACACAATACCGGTACCATTCAAAGAGTTGCACACACTGATCTACTCAAATCTAATAAACAAGTTACAATATTTTCCATTATTTTGAATTCAGTAAAATATTTATTTGATTCACGGGCCCTTAATATAATTATAAAAGCAGTCATTTATACCGTTTTAACGTATAGAATAATTCCATTTTAAACTTAAGTTTAAATAAATCATTAAAGAAGGTCAGACATAAGCTTCCCATTTAATATTCTCCATTCACAGAAACCTACACCACTTAAATAATGTAATATTCTTAAGTTTTTTTAATTCGCGATACATTCATCATAATTTACATAAATCCATATCAATCAACAAACTAAATAATAAGCTTTGATTGTGACTCTGTGAAAAAAAGTGAATCGCAGAAATCTACATCAATTAACAAGGAAAAGTATTAGCTTGTTTAATGAGGTAAACGCATTCAAAATTCACTTAAATCTACTACCTAACATAAAAACTTACCGTCATCTGCAAACTGAACGGTTCACTTCACACTGAATGAGTCAAAACGGGAACCCCCTTTCTCACAAAATCGACTATTTGAATGGTTTCAAAGATGCTCATGGCGCAAAACAGAAGTCGAAAGAGAACAGTTAATAATCTTAACTACGAATATAAAATAACAATAATAACAGTAATCCTGGTGAGGAAGGCTTCATGAGTGCCCTTGCTTGCCCAAAGCAGAATTTATAATTGGCAACTCCTAAGACACACGGAAGGAAGGAACGTCCCACGTTTCCATGTATGGGGTCCCACACCGCATGCCCTTACAGATGTAGCCTAAACTAAACAAATCTATGCCTAATAATACAATATTGAAAAGCTGAAACTGATAATTAAGTGAGTATTTATTGTAAGTTTAAAGGGAACAAAAACATCTTAGGCTCACCCTTAAATAGGATCAGAGAAGTACTTTGTTAATACTAATTAACAATGTGCATAATTAGCTTATTTTAAGCAGATCCACCATACGATGTAATATCAACTTAGATTGTAATAATGCGGTCTACCATGACACTAAACTCTAAACCATACCATATCCATTTAATGATATTTTAATTTCACGATTTACACCACTACCCAGTAAACACAAATAAAAAGCTATTGTAGGATTCGCCAATGTCTGGGGTTTAATACACATTTGCAGCAACGTTTTCGCGCGTTATTTATTTAGAAATCATGTAATAAAGACGATTATTGTTCTAAAAAAACAATGCAAGAATGCAATGTTAATAAAACGTTATTATTACATTAAACTGTTTGCTGGGTATAACTTTAATAGCTTTAAGTAGGCAAAACCTTCATCATGATTAGAAAATCTACAACATTATGAGATATAAACTGAAACATCATTATATTATTATACATATTTAATCCAAAAATTCCCAAAGCCTGGTTTGTTGCCAGTAGGTTGCATTGTTTAAGCTCACTGTTGTTTGTTTACAAGTAATGTATTAGGCCTAGGCCTATATATAACTTGTAATATTTTCTGTTAACTGAATGAATTAACCCCGAAATATTTATATGTATAATATGCAAAGGCAAAATATATTATTTCGTCTTAACGGGGTAAATTAGTAACAATAATCTGCTTAAATTGGCACCCTTCAACGCTATAATTACTTAATACATGATTGACCTACAGTATAATACCCATTGAAGTTTACATTATTCCCGATTGTTCTCGTTTAAATGTTAAGACACCAATAAGTTAAATAATTTTACATCCTTTCTACAGCTATTCAAGAGATAGTTTTATTGTTATTTCGTCTAAACTAAGTAAAATGTTCACCATAATTATGTAAATCTGCGTCATTCAATGGTTGTTTCAACGTGGTAGAATATTCACCAGACCCATTAGAAATCTACCCTTTTCCACAGTATATTCCATAAAGCAAAATATTTAGTAGTCTTCAACTGTGACTGAACCGCAGATACAAGCAGCAGTTATTACCGGGCCGCCGCTGTGCTCTCTGTAGCTATCTGATTACTAAATCTCTTTTCAAATGCCTCACGAACCAGGGGCGGATTTAGTGGGGGGGGGGCGGCCCGGCCCCGGCCCCCCCCCCCCCCTTTTGGGAGGTAAAAAAAGGGAAAAAAGAAAAAAAAAGAGAGAAAAAGAAAAAAATGATAGCCCAGAATGCCTCAAATGTTATGTTCGGGCGTCTAGAACACAACAATTTCGCGGGGGAATGCCCCAGACCCCCTACGACAGTGTTGTCTCAATCGGCCCAACTTTCGGCCCCCGCTTCCGGCCCCCCTTTTGGACATTTCTGGATCCGCCCCTGCGAACCTGTAAAATAATTTACATATATTATATTAATTATTCTTTTTATTGTTCAAAACTAGCTACGAAAATTCCAAAATCGACTAGCTACAAATTTGTATAGGTACCTTTTTACTACAGAAACACTGTGAAGACCAGATAAAGAAGCCTTGCATTGAGGTTAAAGTAACATAGATGTATTCCAGCACTTCAGAATCACAAAAAATGACGACGACACCGAAAATCCATGTCCAACAGCTGGTGTAAGAAGCAGGATACCGCAGCGCAGAGTTCTTACGACAACAATATGTAAGTTTGGAAACATTCTTATTATAGTGGTAATATTTTACTGTCTCATACATTGTAAGAAATTGAGTAATAAATTAAGTTATTATTAATTGTCCATTAAATGATTCATTACTTTATGGTTGATAAAAAACAATTCATTAACTAAAACTTTTATTTGTTGCATAACTATTGGATTAATTTTATGCCTATTTAAATGATTCAATCGGCAGTTTTAAAGATTGAATATATCACTTTGTGTGACCTGATTCGTTTCAGTGTTTCGATTTCGCTTTCAGTTTGGTTCGGCAGTTAAATTTTTGGGAAAGTTTTATAGCAACAACCGCCAAATGTGACAGGATCCATGTTGTAATATATCAATACCAAAAGAGATACCGTACGCTGCCTAATGTGATTATTGTGACGAGTGATGATATTGTGTGTTTAATGAACATAACGTTTACAGTACTGGACTGGAAGGTAGTATTTAACCGGCTCTATCGTAGTGGAGGAATGACATCTCACCATTTCCTTAAGTCCACTTCCTATCACACTTTTCGTATAAATAATATGTTTAGCTTAAAGCAAATTGATGAGAACAACGAACTTTAATCTTCAAGTAGCCGCAATGTTATCTTACAAAGCGTTATAGAAAAAAAGAGAAATAGCCACCTTTTGAAATAAATTCTAATCCGGAGGAAACGGAACTAGGGTGAGGTGTGCGACAAAACATGAAAATGGGAGTAAGAAAAGATGGGATAGACAAAAACAGTTGTTACGAGACGAATGGTAAAACTAGGGAAAGCCATTTAGCTTGTTTTACTGAATGTAGGTGCGGAGCATTGGATTTTAAGAGATGTGGGATGAAGAGGTGGGATTTCATAAAGATGGTCGTGCATAATCTTGTACGGTCATCTTCAATTTGTTGTGGTATTTTGGACACGGCCGGCCACAAGCTGGGGAGTGTTAGCCATGCCTGTTGTTGTAGACCACGTATTGTCACACTTTAAAAATCGGCGTAAATTTTATGACAGAGCATGTAGTGTGATAGCCGGGCACATGGAAATAGGCTATGAAAAATAGGCTATGAAAACATGTGGACACTTTTCAAATCCGGAATTAGAGCCAGAACGTGCTCTTAATTGCTCATTTGATCTGAGAAAAATGTATGTAGAGTAAGCAGTTTTTAATAAACAATGTGACGTAGTATCATACACCATAAACCGTGCTAATCTCAATGAACACAATTTATTAATTTTTATTTTCTCCTGATAACAATAACTTCAATTTTTAGAGCTGCGTAACTTTAATAGGAAAGCTTCAGTAATATACAATTTCCCCACACTGCCTACTGAAGCAGCTCCAAGTCTCGTCTCAAACGAGAGATACATGTCTTTTTTGTGAATACCGCTATTTTTCTACGTCTGCGTTTCTAATTTGTTATTCGATTGCTTCGCACATTATCGACAGAGGGCGTTCCGGGAACATTGCGTCTGGACATCCTTACTGCCACTAAGACATGTTTAAATAAGAGTAGCTATTATAAATTTGTTAGAACTTTATCAAATAATAGTTAGAAAAACGATATTTTAAAAAACTTATCGAATCGTTAGTGTACAAACTTCCCTTATTTCTTTTGATTTCTATATGAACAATTGCTTTTCAGCTTTTGTATCGTTATCGTTATCGTTGAACTATAAACAGCCATTTAGTCGCGTTCAAAATATCGGCTCTGTATGGTGAGCCAATGGGAACATTAAAGACGTCAACTAGTACAATTACATAGTATTTATGACAAATTAGTAGAACGTGTTAAAATTGATGACAGTGGTCGGGATGTAATCAGGAATGTATGGCAATAAATACTCCACCAACACCACCACCACCACCTAAAAACAGAATATGAATTTCTACCCGGAAATAATTGAAATATCCACTTGAAAGGATAGAATTATCTAACCAAGACTGTTTGACAGCAATCACATCCAGATGTTCAGTAAATGTCATAACCTGGAACTCTGTAAGTTTATTCACGATGCTACGTGCATTATATAGGTAACTGTGTGCATTATATAGGTAACTGTAAAGACACTTAAATTGATCGGGAAAAAAAATTACTCGGAACACGACAATAAAGAACACATCAGGCAATTCCAAGAGGATTAATCGTCATTTGTATTAGAATCAGAGTTGGAATTACACACACCTTAACAACGGGAATGATGCCATTTATAACATTTTAGACCTTTCTGATTAGATTTGATGGGCTTTTCACATTATCCACGTTTTTTTTTTTGTTTCTAGTGTTGTTTTGCTCTTATCTTCTTTCAGCACTGATGACCATATTTCTTTATACTTGGTTTGAATAAAAACAATTATAATGCATAGGGCAAGCAAATATCTTCTGTAGCATATCATAGCGGCTGAAGTGGTTAAGAAATAAATTGTACCGACTTCACCGCATTGATATACTGTAGGAATGTGTTTACGAACGCAATTATTGTATATACCAATGAAGTCCATTTAAGGACATTCATAGTGCACAGCAGTATTGTTAACAAAAAATGATGCCGTAACATTCATTAACTGCAAAAAAAAAAAAAAAAAAAAAAAAAAAAGATCATTTTTATGTGATACCAACTTGACAGTCTGGGCGTGAGCAAATGCCGCTGGACTGGACGCCAGATCACTAACGATGGATCAGTTATCTTATACTCTGGTCACACGGACACCCACAAATATGGTGTTGCCCTTATACTTTCAAGAGAAAGCAATGGCCCTAATAGAGTGGGAACCAATCAGTAATAGATTTATGATAGCCTGCTTTAATTCTAATTACTGTAAAATTACAATCTTATATGCTCTAACAAATATAGCTGAAGAGGAAAAGAAAAATGACCGGTTTACAGCTTACAGCTTGCCGTCTTTATTCCCCAACATTACATGATCTTGATTATTGGCAATATGAAAGCAGAAGTGGGAGCTGACAGCTCAACCCACGAAAGAAAAATGCTAACAAATACATAGCTGTGGCAAAATTAACAACAGTATGAACAAAAACTGTGTCATCGGTGGCGCCCTCTCTCCACAGAAGAATAATAAGCTTACTTGAAAATCACCTGATGGAAAATAACTTAAAAAACTGACCACATTTCAATCAATGGGAAGTGGCGTAGATCTCTCCAGGATATTAGAGCTTCGTGGAGCCGATGCTAATAGTGACCGTTTCCTAATTGCAACTACTAGACTCAGGATGGTAATGCCACAGGAAATATACTGGAGGATACTTGACATCAACTAAATTGTAAGTGTACTGAAAATAACGCCGCATTTATACTAAGGCTGAGAAGTCGTTTCAGTGCTCTTATAGATATGACGACCGAGGATAACAATATAAACCAAAACATTAATGAGATGTGGAATAACATCAAGAACCCCTACTGTGAAACAGCTAAACATATACTGGGCTATAGAAAGAATGGTTAAAATTTGAACATAGAAAAAGATTGACGAGTTAACAAAACAAAATAAGAAGCTGCTAACCGCCAAGTCACCTAGGTTATACAAACGTTCACAGACAGCTTAAATAATCAAAGAATGAACAACAACTGAACATAAGCAGGCCTCTCGTTGGGGTCGTGTTAAATCGTCCAGAATAATTAGAAGTAACAAATTCTACAGCAGCTGATACTGACATTGACATTGGCACCAGTCCACTAAATAAAACAATCAACATTGCTATCAAACAATGAAGTGTAAAAAGGCATCTGGCGTTGATTCCATGCTGAAATGCTGTTGGCTGATACCTACTTAACTACCAACCTTCTGACAGACCTCTTTCAATCCATTTGCTTGGAAAATGCCATCCAATAAGACAAAAAGTCTTATTCTCCAGAGGAAAGGCAAACTGCACACTGACAAGGAATTATCTTAATGTCCATTACTAGTAAGATCTTCTGTAGAGTCTTTCTGAACAAAATTGAAAAAACAATTGACATCAGGCCTACGCAGGAAGTAGGGAGGGAAAATGACGCACTGACCAGATATTTACATCATCGAACAGAGCCTGGAGTCGAGTACGCCTTTATATATCAACTTCATAGATGTTAAAAAAGCATTTGATAGTGTTCATCGTGAAACCCTGTGGAAGATCGTCTCATTAGTAAAAATGTTTTACGACTACCTGGAATACCCACAACCAGTGTTTCCCGTTGAATTTGAAGTGAGACAAGGTTGAATCCTGTACGCCATTCTATTTCTTGTCACCATCCATTGGGTCAAACCATATCAGACAAACCCTGAGGCATACATAGGAGTCTATTTTTTCACTTAGAAGCCCTTGCCTTTGCTGATGACCTCGCTGTCCTCTCTACCACATATTTGAACCTACAGGAGAAGACTAATATACTATTGTTTTGCTAAGAAGACAGGTTTAAACATC